AAATCACTCTATAATATTAAGTCAATATGTATATGTAGATTTTTCTGTTAAGATGATACTATCACCCTCATGTGGCATGTGTTACTACTAATTGAGGAATACGCGGGAAATTGAAAGGTTTTACTATACATCCCTTAGTTTTTTACATTCTACATTGTAGGAGACAAAAATTTGCAACTTGATATGAAAATAAAATTGATGGAAGAACATTATAATTATATATAATTTCCTCATGAATTATAGCTTATTACTATGCATATCAACGATTACAATTACATGCATTTATTGCAAATTATAAATTACATATTATTTTATTCTTAGCCTTTAACGATTGTAAGATCTCTAAAATAGAATACCACAAAAAAATTAAAAGAGATCTTATAAGAGTCGATCATTGAAGGTGAATATATTACATGTAATTAAATATAACATTTCTTATATGTATACTTAGCTGCTAGGTTCTACATAGCAACTTATTCTTGGTACATAGTATAATGAAAAACGAGACTCTAATCCAAAATGTTTCCGTAATCAATTTTTAGTGCGCATGCGTGATGAATGCAGCTTAAAAAATTGTATTTTATGACCTACGAGTTCTGAAGGAAAAACATTAGAGGCACCAAATTGTAGTTGCGCATCTCAACTTCATTGATCTATGACGGTTACAAGTAACAGTGACAGCAAGTGGCATTATTAACACAAAATATTAACATCCCAACTCAATAAATATTAATGTTGAACTAGTAATATTGTGATAATTTACTTAATAAGTGCAAATTTGTAAATTCATGCTTGTGTAATTTCTTGTAGTTTTTTATACTTAAAAATAGAACAATTCATTAATGTAAATATAATTTTATTAAACTAGCTATTGTTAAACAATGTATAAAGCAAACCAAGAACCTGATATACCTGCAGCGTTGGGCTCACTTACACACCTAAATAATGATGAACTTAAAGAATTATTAAATGATGATAACAAGTTTGAAGATATTGTGAAAGACATAAAACAGGTATGTGTATATGTATGTATATAATTATGCATGATGTATGTACAGATACATTCACACATATTGCTATATGTTTATGTATTGTGATTCTTATATTGAAAATAGTTCAAAGATTTGGAAACCGAAAAGGACATGTTAATGGCAAGTAATAGGTCTTTAGCAGAGTTTAATTTGTCTAAGCAACCAGAATTAGAAGGTAGTAAACAGATTTTAAAAGAACTTGGTGAAAGAGGAAGTGGTTTATGTGCAAGTGTGAAAGAAAAGTTAGAAGTATTAAGTAAGTTTATATAAAATTTAATTTATGCCTAACTAATCTTTATTAAATATATTCTATTAAATAAATTAATGTGTTATTGTTTTAGAGGAAAAGTCTGGTGAAATGTCTGTTGATACTGCTTTGGATTTATTACAAACAGCTACTGCTGAAATTGAAGAGCAATCAGAGGTATTGCACATGTTACAATATTATAATATTTAATTACTTAAATTTAATGATATTGTTATGTTTTCAATGTACAGAGTATAGCAGGGAAGTTTTTGGCTGGTGATATGGAAGTAGATGAGTTCCTGGAACAATTTCTTTCTCAAAGAAAATTAATGCATCTACGTAAAGTAAAAGTAGATAAGCTGAAAGAGTTAATACGAAAGTCACACTTCTCTGGTGGTCCAGGTTATCCAATTGCTAGTAATTTTCCTGGTATAGCACCTGCGATTCCTTATCCAACTGGACCTGTCTCTATGCCCATGCCTGTGCCATCTGGTTTACCACATTATAGGCCATATTAAATTTTTGAATTGGAGTATATAAAATGTTATTCTTTGAAGATAAATAAATATCTAATGAAATAATGTTACTATATTTTTTTGTATAATAAAATATTTGTGCTTGTACATTGATAAGACAGACCAACTGTTTAGAATAATATCGATCCATCAGTAGGATTAATTCATGCCTACTTTTAAAGTTTAATTTATGATTTCCTTTAATTTGATGTTCTGTTTGGACTGTTAGTGCATTAAAATGAATAAAAATGAAAATAAAAGAAAAAATTAAAACATGATAAAAGAGCACTTGAAGGCTTTTA